TCTCCACACGTCACCTGTCTGTTTGTTGTTTAGAATATAAACTGTCATCTCACAGCAAAGCATGCAGCGTGCACAGTGTGACCCATTTCTAAAGGTACACACACTACAGGCCACACACACGTTGTTGCTCTGTTAAGCAATCACATACTTGGAAGGAGATGATTTCACATCCAAGCCCCATGCATTGTGTTCAGGTGTGAGTGTGTGACCCTGTGGGTAAAAGCAGAGGAGGGAACCCAAAGACAGGCAAAGTGGCCCAAAGCAAGACGATCCGTTTCTACTGTAACCGCAGCTGTTCAGTTCTACAGAACCCCTGAAGAGCTGACCTGCAGATTCCACACATCACTCCAATAAACTTCAAACTGGACCAAATAAATACAAACTAAATGTAACATTGTGATACTGAGCAGCACTTCACGTTCCCTTCCTCTTTTGGTTTTGACTCATATCTTCCTCTAGCTGCATCCCTCCCATCACTTAGTGTCAGCAGTTACAGTCCAGCATGAAGCCTGCTGCTGTCAGGACACCAGCTGAAACTGATCTGAGGCCAGAAGCTTTCCACTGCTCACAAGTTTAGCGGCAAAAGAGTCCCCGCCAAAACAGATTTAGAGTTTGCGTCAAACTCAGAGGAAGAGCGATGCGTTTCCTTTTTTAAATCCTCCGCGTAATTTAGGTTTGAGAAAAAAAGGTTAATTTCCTCTGTCTTTAATTGTAAATGTATTTCCTTTCGCTCTCTGCTTTGCACCAATGAACGCCTTTAAAATCTTATTAATCCTTCACATAAATAAAACTCGGCTTACTTAATTTCACCTGTTTTGCGCTCCCTTACTGTAATGTGCTTAAAAGTGTCGTGAGGGAAACCCTGGAATGTTCCACTGGCAATGCGTGCAGGCTATTAAATAATCCAAACCGAAACATAAATATTAAAAAGAATAAGTTTTGCATCCATGCAGCAATAGACCTCATGCACGGGACTAATTTAACTGAAGACAGAAAGGCTGGCACGAGGCGGTGATGTGTCTATCAAAGATTTAATAAGAGCACCTACTTTCATTTCAACATCTCCCCGTACGGCAGCAGGTACAATAATAAAGTTCACTAGTTTCATTACAATAAAACATTTCCTTTTTTTCTTAAAGTGTAAACATATATAATAAGAAGAATTAATTGATCGAAATTGAGTATGTCATTCTTATTTCTAATTTAGGATACTTACAAACACATGGTGTGTGTTTTTATCTTATATAACAGGATTATTAATATGTTCGTTTAAACCGATGGAATTTGAACAGTGTTTTTGTTGCGGTTTGAACACTAAGTGTCATTTAATGATCTGGTTATATGTCATTGAAACAAAAAGCAGAGACATAAAGAAGTTACGTCTCAATTAAGTCACAGGAAGGATCTCCGTCTTCTTTAACAGTGTCATCTTCCCTGATATTAGCAGGATAATTATACAAAGTTATAATCAGGTCAGTAAATTAAAGCCTTGATCAAATGTTGTCAATAACGCTGGAGAGGAAAGAACTGGCCTTCAGGACGCACTCCGAGAAACTTTCTGCTCTAAGTCTGAAAATGTTTGTTTTTACGCACCATCATCCCGGGAAAAATCTCTCAACCTCAGAACGACACCGGAGAGGGAAAAGCGATGTGTGCATGTAAATATTTGCAGGGCCACTTACGTGTTATTTCTCTCTGGGACAGGTGCTGCGGGTTACCCTGCTTTCGTCGGGACATCGCCCTGGCATTTACACTGGCATCGCCCGGAGAGCGGCGCTGGAAGGGTGGCGTCTCCTCCTGCTGCTGGCTGCCCAGAGCTGACCTCGGCTCTGTCCCAGGTGTGGCCCTCGGACTGACCCCTGTGCGGTGGATGTCCCTCCAATGGGCAGCGGATCCTGCTCTGCTGTGGCCGGCCGGAGCACAGCGCTGGGCGGGCGGTCGGAGTTCAGTTCCAAAGTGGTGGCGCGCCTCCCTTCTGGTGGTGAGGGAGGGGGTAGTCCGACTCTGCCTTCCGCGATTTCACACCATCTGTCAGAGGAGAGCGGAAGAGGAGCCGGGTGGAGAGGAGCAGGGTGGAGAGGAGGAAACCCGGCCGGTCAGCTGTGTCCACTCTCCGGACACCTGGACACTGTGCGTCCCTGTCCAGCAGGTGAATTGACGCCAATTAACGTCTGAAAGTGAGTCCAATAGGAATCCAATGTCCTTTTCGGGACTTCTCGCAAAGTGGTGGGCACTTCTTCTGCAGCACCAGCAGTGCCAGGCGGGCGGGTTACACTTTAACTAGTGGAGTCAAAGCCCAGTGTTGCTCTGAGGACAGGCTACCTCCCTCTCTTGTCTTTGTGCTCGCTGCAGAGTCCCGCATCCCCGGGCAGTGTGCGGCAGTGTGCGGCTCTGTGCGGCTCTGTGCTTCTCTCTGGCTTCTACAATGGGAGAAAACTCAAGTTCAAGTGCGGACGTGACGTTCAGTCTGCGGTGAGAAGGGAGAGTGGAGACTGAAGAGCACTGGGGGCGACTAGTGGTGGCTTTCACACACACTGACACACACACACACACACACTGACACACACACAATAACCACTCTCACACACACTCCGGCGTTTGCGCGCACGGCGGCAGTGTCCAGAGTCGCTCAACTCATCTCGGCGTCCCGTCGCTATTAGAATGCGATTTATTTATAGATTGTGACCTGTGTGGCTTCCGTAGCTGGTGCACAGGGTGCTGGACACTGAGAGGGTGCCTTTACATGTTAATGCGCGCAGACACCGTGCGTAATCTGTGCCGCTCCTTACACCCTTTTCCCACTTTCTGCATAGCGTGCTAAAATGATTAAATATTGTTTGACTCAAAATGCTATTAACATTAGAGCTTTATAAAGGACACATGTTTACAAAAATAAAGGCCTGTCGTATAATACACTGCACTCCTTCATAAATTGACTCGATTTCTCATATACGCAGAACATTATTCATCATAAATACTTGTATGATTTTGTTTGACCGACTGATTAAATTTACGTTGTTACGAGTTTATCATATACTAAGCCTGTATGTTTGATACAATATTTAATATTATAGCTGGCTGTATTTATATATTTTCACTAATGCGTCGTGAAGGCCTAGATATGCGCACACATTTATGGATCACACATTTCACGCATATTCATTCATATACAAATGATTTAATTATAACCTGTGTTTGTTTTTGAATACACATATCATTCTATCAGATGTTTTAATCATATTACTTAGTAAGTATTATAATAGTTAGAGAATTATGTATAATTGCTAAGAGTGTTTAGGGAAAGGATGTTGGGATATATACTGACGTTATGACCTTAAGGTGACCTTAGGGCTAATAGAAGATGGAAATGTGGATGAGGGCGATTTCTCCTTCGAATTATTTAAAACCCTACTGATCAAGTTACATTTGAAGATAACATGACAATTAAATCAGAACACAGGAGCTGAGCTTAACACCATCAAGTGTGTGTGTGTGTGTGTGTGTGTGTGTGTGTGTGTGTGTGTGTGTGTGTGTGTGTGTGTGTGTGTGTCAGAAAGCAGCGTCTCGTGCGGACTTCCCCCCCGGTCTGATTTAAACCCCCCTCTGTGAGAGGAAGGAGACTCCATAGTAACATAGTGTGTCAGAGAGTGAACTGTGGCATCTCTATGATGGAACCTAGGAACATCAGTGTGAGTTTGTTAAAGCAGAGGTATGAACCCCCCCCCCCCCCCCCCCCCCCTTCATCTGAACTGGATTAGCTGCTATCACATTCCAAAAACACTCCTTCTCATTTCCTCTTCTTCATCTGCATGTCTGTGTCTCAACTTTGTCGCTTCATCTCTATCCTCAACCTCCTGGCTGGCGTAATAAATGGGGGGGTGGGGGGGTAGCCTCAGGGTTCTTTTTATCCCTCCCCACCTCGCATCTATACAAGCCCCCAGTTTGTTCTTGGGCCAGGTGTTGTCAGAGCGGGAGAACGCTTCCTCATCCCTCATTCTCCCGGCTTTGTGTTTGGACTTCTCGCTAGTTTCCCTGCAGCGCCTCGAGTGCTGCCGCTTCTCTTCTCTGTCCTTCTTTCTGTCTTTCTATATATCTTCACGGGGGCTCATCTCAGCTGTTCGGGCTGTCTCCCAATAAGCCAAAAGCCTCTCCTTATTTCAGCGGTATACTGTAGGAGGACATAAATAGATTTCCTATGCTCATTTACAAGAAAAAGGAGAGGATGGCAGGTTCGTCCAAATGTCTTTGTCGCACGCATAACAGAACACCCACTTTCATTTGGGAGGGATACATGCAGCACTTTGTCACAATAACAGCCGACTGAGAGCATTATGTTAAAATGTAAATCATTGTCATTTTTAAGGCGCGACTCAGTGCCAGTGTTTTGTTTTTTTCTTGTTCTTTCTTCATGAAGATATGGGATTAAAGCTGCTTTGAGCGGCTCGGTGGACGGACGGAGGAGAGAAGAAGAAGCTGTCTTCATTGTCGCTCATATTTAAATCTACACACACAAATCAGGGATGCTTTAAACACACACACGTTATCAGGTTCACACTTTTATCAGTGAGAGCCCTGCTAATGGTACAACCAGTTGCAAATGTTTTTCTATTACAGTTTTTTAGATGTAATGTAGCCTTTTTGGACCATTTTTATATCATCACAGGCTTCTTAATCCTGACTGTCGAGGAATCTGAGAGCATTCTGTGCCAAGTGACACTCCAGGCCAACATCAGCACCCGGATGTGCTACTTGTCCTTGCAACCTGATTGGCTCATTAGTCAGAAGGGCGACAGGTGCATCATTCCCACTTTCTTATTGGACATTTTTCGAAGGCGATTTCTCACTTAAAGGCCATCAGAGTGAGTTATGGCGGATGGCTCCCGGCATCCTGCTTTTGCCCTTCCTTCATTTGCATATATATATGTGGCTGTTTGTTTTTATGTTAATGCTAAATAAGTCTTTTCTCTCCCTCCTCATAACGCTCAGCGCCTCAGCTTGGCGGTTAAGTTTTAATTAGAGGGACGTGGAGGTGTCCTTTAGAGTTTTAAGATCACTTTCCCAACAACTGTTCTCCAGTAAACTGCTAATACTAGTGTTTATGTGTTCAGATGCATGCTGGGAGATAAAGCAGGGTGTGGGGAGAATCTAATATGCACAGAGAGTTCACAACTGTAAAGAGAAGCTTTGATTGAAATGCTTTATTTCTATTGTTCTATTGGTTTTTTGAATATTATTTCTATTGTATGTCTTTTTAAGCATATCAACATTTAGGACCAGGACCAGGCTGTCATCCAATCAGAAGCTAGTGCTGTGGGAGAGATGTGTCTGACTAACACCTTGTCAATCAGGACTGTTTGCAATGTGGAACTGAACTGAAATCTCTTCAAATGAATAAAGTACGTTAAATGTTTTTGGGTCAAATCAGGAAAAATATGATATAAGGGTATAAGTTCATTCTTCCCGGAGTAACCGCACAAGTTCACTTGAGTAGCTTCCACACTTTGGATCACATGATCTTCATCAGCAGGTGGACACTGCCCAATATCTTTGAATTGTAGCTAATCAAATACTTTCTTTTTCTGAGCACATAAAATAATTAAAGTAATTACTGACTTTGAAAGCAGCATTTAGCATTTAGAAGTAATGAAGTTCCTAATGGCCTAATGTTGTGTTTCTAAATTAGTTTTAAGTCAAACTATATATTTTAACATTTACAGTGAACCACTCCTGTTTATCCATGATCCGTCATCTTCAACAGCAACCATAACGTGTTAATGTGGGCACGTTACTGTGATCAGTGATGACAGCAGTGTGTGACCCACAATGCAACACCACCCTCTGTTGGTTAGCCACTGCCACATGCACAGTAACCAGTGCCTCAGTGTGTTCCAGTGCATGTGTGTGGGGGGTGTTTGAATTATTCTCTGTGTATGCAGAGAAATCAAATCAAACTTTACATATATGTGTCACTTTTCATTCACAAAGGAAAGTCAACGTGCTTCACAAACCCGACATATGGACAGTTTTCTAAAAACTAAAAACAATACTGTCTCCCCCTTCCCAGGTAATAGCCAGAGTAACACATAGCTTTGTGATGAAAAATAACTCTGAATACCAACACAAGATTGAATGAAATAGGACTAAAAACTAATAATAAGAATAAAAAATGAATACAATAAGAATAAAATAAAATACAGGTAAAAGCCAAAATAAAAGGTGGGTCTTTCTTGAGTATGAACGCTCTCTGCAGAGAGGGATCCACAGAGTTGATATCCTGAGTGTGTGTTACATACACCATACAGCTGATTTCATACATACCTGGAACACGCCTGTCTTTGGGGGCTGTAATGGTTCATTAAAAATAGATTTGAGTGAGGCTCATTATTACAGGTTCTGAATGAAGAGCTACAGTAAGTGAATAAACGCTGCTGTGATAGTCTCTGCACGGGTTGAAGAGCAGAGCGTTTGAGGGCTAGCGGAGAAGCGCAGAAGCCCTTAAGCACAATTACAGATATCAAAGTTGGAATTATTCCTTTTATAGGGAAAATGCTAATCAGATTTATTTAGAGCAAGTTAGCAGCACTGAGCTCTCATTACCAACACACACACACTTACACACACACTTACACACTTAACACAAACACGTGTGCACTCTCACTTTAAGACCTTTTACTCTCTTTTTTCTTCCTCTTCTCTTTTCAAGAATATTTTTTAATTCCCCCACAATTATACAGTGGTTAATGTATATGATGGTCATTATTCAAAGTCTCATATAATGAGGCAGAGAGTACAGTAGCAACAAGAAAAGAGGACGTGTTCTCAACTTAGAGAGAAGCGTCCTAATGAGCTTTTCCTTCAGTTAGAGACTGAGCAGAGTTGAGCTCAGGACCTGAGACCTGCTGCCACTATTACAAAAGGCATTACTAAAAAAGTGTTGCTGACGTGAATTTTAAGAAAACATTTTTTTTACATTTGTAAAAGCAAAGTTAGCAAACTTGAATAAAAATAATAATTTGCACTTTTATGTTTTTCATGTTTAGACTTACCATTAATGTTTTTATTTTCATTTGACATAATAACATAGTGTAACACAAATCCAATGCAAATATCAAAACAGACAACAGAACATTACATAGCAGAAGTTTACAATGGAGTGAAGGGAAGACGAAGAAACATCAGAAGTTGAAGCCCCCATCGTAGGACCTCCGATAATAAACGGAACCAAACAAGAGGAATAGGGCTTCAAAGAGCTTCCTGTTTACAAAGACCAAACGTTGTTCAGAAACATTAACACGCTGTTCAAACTTTGTCCATCTTTCAATAATGATTTTTATGTTAAGCATTACTATACTTTCATTTAGTGTTTCAAGAAAACATGTTTGAATCAGAAGCTATCAGACACATTGTCAGGCCCTTCAAAACACTAACAGCAAAAACACTAAACTGCGCTGTGAGGAGGCTGGCTGTCTGCAAGCTGAAAGAGACCTGAGGCTGTCCCCC